TGGCCTGCTAGCGCCTGATTTAAATGGCGGGAAAAACGTAGTGCCATGAAAACGATGGTATTATTTTTATCATAAACATTATAATTTTTATGATTTTTTTAAACATTAGTAACAGCAAAATAAGATTACGTAAAATATTTTGTAAATCAAAGAAACGGGTAAACGGGTGAGACGGGCGGTGCTCGTAACTGGCTCATTGGTGATTTAGTACAAGTGTTGCCATCTATGTGTAAAAACAATCAAACAAGTACTCACTGTGGGCATAGCACGTACGTACACGTCATTCCCGGCACCAAGGGGATATATATAGCATATATATATACATATATATATATGCATATATATATGTATATATATATATAGATATAGATATAGATATATATATACATATATTACATTTACATATAGTATGTATATGTATATCTTATATATATTTATGTATATATATACATAAATATATATATGTATATATATATGTATATTCATATACTTATATTTATTATTGATATATATTACTCACACTTGCATTTGTGTGTATGCATTTATATTTGTGTGTATGTATGTGTATCATTTTATTATCATTAGCTGCAGCAGTAGTTTTAGTTGCGACTGTAGTAGCATTCGTAATCATTATAGCGACATTACAATCGTAGTAATTATGAATTATTATATATCATACTATGGTTATCATTGTTGTTAATATTAAGATTATTACCTTTGTCTGAATAATTACTGTTCTAATAATCATTATGATGGTTGTAATTGTAGTTGTACAAATAGTAGTAGATTTACCAGTTTTAACTGATCTCTGATATAGTAATAATAACTGCATTAGATATTTTCTTATTTTTCAATCGTTATTAAGATTGCTATTTTTAATGGTTGCATCAATATGAATTTTAAATCCCATGATTAGCATAATAGTGATTATGATAATTAACCCATTGCCACTGGGGAAAATGAAAAAAAATGGGGAAAATGCTGTGCTCATTCTTTATTTTTTTTGTCACTACACATAGATGGCTCTGCCTTACCTGATTTCACCTTTCCCTGAATTGGCGGGAAAATGTATTTTCTACTAGTGCTATGAATATCAATGGTGTTATTTTTATTATAACATTATAATTGCTATAGTAATTACTATAGTAATAGCAAAATAAGATAACGTAAAATATTTTCAAAAATTAAAGAAGAGTGAATGGGTGAAACAGGCAGTACTCGTAATTGACTCATTCGTGGTTTAGTGCAAGTGTAGCCATCTTTGTGTAAAAACAATCAAATGAGTAAACTCACAGTGGGCGTGGCATGGCATGCCTGTCGGCAATGGGTAAAGATCTTCCTATAAGAAGCTCACGAGATGCTTACTGATGTCACGATACCAGTACTTACAGCCGAGTCTACTGAGAATGGCAGGCTGGACGCCAACCCAGGATCTTGCGGTTGCAAACCCATTACTCTACCACTTAGTTATACAATTGAAAATATAGATAAAAAAAAGTACTTTTATAATCCTTCTCATCACTTCACAGCTTCCTAATAATCTTGTAAAATAGCGCACTTGTTCCTAGGTCTAAATCCTCCACTACGGCAGCCAAGTGGAGCTCGTGGAAAGCCTATCTGTCTCAACACCAATTATTTTGCCATCAAAACGAAAGCTGAAGTCAACCTCGTCCAGTATGAGGTTTCTATTAAACAAGATACCAGGAGGAATATTAAGATTGGGAAGAAACAAAATATGTAAGTGTACTGCTGTATGTCTATATATTATTTTATTTCTGTTATTTAAAACAATCTTTCCATGTCTCATTATATTATATCTATCTATCTATCTATCTATATATGTACATACATATATATATATATATATATATATATATATATATATATATATATATATATACATATATGTATATATATATATATATATATATATATATATATATATATATATATATATGCATATGTATATACATATATGAATATTTATATATATATATTATATATCCTCAATATATTATGTGTATATATATATCATATAATATAATAATACTATATGTATATATACACATTCATGTATATATATGCATACATATATTTAAATATATATATGTATATACACATATGTATGTATGTATGTTTATATATATACACATATATGTATATGCATACATATATATCATGTATATATGTATATACTACATGTGTGTATGTATATATATGCATATATATTTATTGATATGCATATCTATGTATACATACATACATATGCATATATACATATATATGAATATGTATACATATATATATACATATATATATATATATATATATATATATATATATATATATATATATATATATAATTTACATATGTATGTATATATACATCTATACATGAATATATATATATATATATATATATATATATATATATATATATATATTAATATATATATATAATTCACATACATATGCATTTATACATCTATATATGTATATA